GTCGCGTCCGTGTCTCGTCGTGCCTCGGTTTTCTTCGCCCCGTGCCCGCTGCCTGAGGCCCCCGTCCCATCGGGCAGGCGATAAGGGCCCCGGGTGAGGGCCGGCGTGCCGTCCCGCCTCGGAAGCGCACGCCAGGCCTCGGTCAGTGAGGGGCAACCTCTGAGGGCCTGGGGAAGAGGGACTGTGGGAAGCGCTTTAGGTCGCTGTCGTTGCTGCCCGCTGAAGGCCGAGGTGCTGCGGTGCTCAGGGCTGAGGCCGCCGTTCTGTGAGTCGTGCCTGGGCGCAGCGCTGTGCAGCTGGCGAAGGGGGCCGGCCTCCTGGGCCTTCGGCTGCTTTGACATTCCAGCTTTTCAGGTGTCTTCGCCATGGATGAGACTGTCGCTGAGTATATCCGAAGGACTGTTCTAAAAATCCCGCGGGATGAAATCAAGACGATGCTACAGAAGTGGGGCTTTCTCTCTGAGGAGCAGCTGCAGGCCATCAACTTCCAGCAGATAAAGGAGAGCATTTCTCAGGAAGTTGTGCGGCTTTGCGAGGTAATCCCTTCCCTCGGGGGCTGCCCGGCAGCAACACACGGTGCGTGGGGAAGCGCCATTAAAAAAAGTAACTTATGGAGAAATGAAATTTTCTTTGTCTGTAACACAGCATCAAATGGCAGTTTGCAGTCGGTAAAGCTGAGCTGGCAATGCCATCAGTTTTATCTGTTAAGACTGTAGGATTGACCCTTACTAAGTATGAAAGTACATGTTTTCAGCTCCAAGTTGCACAAGGTGGATAAAAACCTCAGTGTGTTAAGCCTTTAAGAAATGAGTGTAATTCTAAATTGCAAAATAAAGACATTGAGATGTCTACCCATTACATAGTGCTAGTTTAAAACTGTTTCGTTTAGGAAATGATAGCAGTAGTTTATATCTTTTGGACTTTTCAGATTTTTTTGGTAATTTTTCCTTGGGCTGAACTGCTTCCATTCTGCACACTGCAAGCAAAAAAAAAAAAAAAAAAGCCTTCTGCTCTCCTTACATACTCTGATTTTGGTGTATCAGAGTCTTTACTTATAAAATCTTTATATGCCTATATACCATAACCCAGGCAGATGCAGTTATTACTGATATCTCTGAAGTTTTGTAACTTTTTTATCATTCCCTTTGAATTTCATACCCAGAGATTAATTACATGCAGTATAGATCAAACTGCAGGCAAGAAACTGTTCAGTTATTCTTGTAAGAGAGCAAATGTCATGTTTTAAAATAGCATTTGTTTCTGAGACATTCTTACCTGTAACCAGTAATGTTCTAAAATTTTCTTTTAATTTTTTTATAATAATAAGGAGGAACCAAGCATGTTAGGGTTCCTGATGGTGAAAGACTAGTCACTTTTACATAATGTCTTGAAGACCCATTAATTTTACTTTCTAATTGCTTGTACATCATGCAGTATGGCAACTTTCCTTTTGCTGCCTCTACAGAAACACTTAAATCTTGCTCAAGTAGCTTTTATTATTGTCTTCTCAAAACTGTGTTGTGTGCCCATGGGGACCAGGTGTGTGTCTTTGAGGAGAATGTGTGTGCTGTGGGTTTCAGGGCAATGATATTTAATCTATAAATACTGGGATTTTCACTTATTAAACAGTGTGGTAAAGCATTCTGGACCAGCAGTTCACCACACATTGTTATTCCTCTTTCCAGGAAAATTGTGCAGACATCAAGCAAGCAGCTGTCCTAGACATAATCTGTAAGTAAGAAATGAATGCAAATAACATATTTGTATTTTTTCCAAGTAACTTCATTAACACCCTTAACTACACAGCAGTTGCCCTAGTGAGGTCCAGGTGTGTTTGTAAACAAGTTGCATTTCAGATGATTAATCTTATTGGATATGACCCTTCCTTAAAAAAAAATAAAATCAATAGCTCAGGGTCAACAAAAGCAAGCTTGCTTCTTTTGAGGTCTAAAGAGATGTGAACTGTGGTAAGACACATCCAGAACACAATTATAACAGCTGTAAGTGTAGAGAGATGTTTGTCTCCATTATGAACCAAACCCTAAAATCAGTAATATTGTGCTCCAACAGGGAGTGACATAGGCAAAACTATCAGCAAATACTCCAGGTGGAACAGAAGTTAAGTAATTCACAACTTAATCACATAATAGTTTAAATTTTAAGGTTTCTTTTAACAGTCTGCACTTCTTAGTTTGATTTTGAACTGAGTTTCAGTCACTTTAGGTAAAATCCTTTAAACACTGAACCTCAGAGATACCCTTTATCAGTCATTTAACTGAATTAAAAAAGATCTTCCCATCTGTTTTAATAAAAACTATTTTGCTTTGAAGTTTACTATGAGTGGTAGCTTAAGAATGTTGAATAAATTATACTGCATTATCAGCAGTCATCTTTTTTTAAATAACCTGGTCATAAAAGTATTGCAAAAATAATTTGTCCCTTTAATAACTGTCTGATGATACACTCTTACTGAATAATTCCTGTTTTTCTTAGACAACCACATCCACCAAAACAAAAAAGTATGGACTGTTTACCAGATGAACAAAACAGGTAAGATGCCTTTTTTCCTTGCTGTCATCTCATAGTCCTCAGCAACTTACTGCAGTGCTCCCTTTTAGTGTACATTTTAAATACAAAAATAGTCTAGTATGGATTTTTCAATTAAGATTCCCTTCATGTTTTTAGATGTTTTTCAATCAGTTTCTCAAGCAATTATTAGAAATTAATAACTACTAATTAAATATTAACCTTTTGTCTATATAACAATAATTAAGATCAAACTTAATATACAGCTTTTTGTATAAGGCTATGCAACTTCATCTTTTAGACTTAATTTTGTTTCAGCAAAACTAAAAACATCTCTGAACTAGTTCTTGTAAGCATAAGAATTGTTTTGTTTTTTCTTGTGTAACAGGTGAAGAAATGGAATTTTTTGACTTAACAGATTTCAAAAAAAAGTTTAAAAGACACCTTCGATCTGCCTTGAAAAATGTAAGAATAAATCCTTTCTCAATTTGTTACCTATGTTTGGTGTCAATAGATTGTTTTCATAACCTTAATGTGGTAATTTTTTTCTTACAGTCTGCATTAAGAAAATTACATGGAATTGTTAATTTGGGGATGGTAGGAACTGCATGTGAAATAGGAAAGATATACTGCACATCTGCTCTACCAACTTGACAGTTATGCTGGAGTGAAATAAAATGAGTTTGCCTTAAAATCTGACAGGCTTCAAGGAAGGCAATATGTTTGCTTTCTAGCAAACCTTTGCCCTACTTGACTGTACATGTTGCTTAGGTAATTTGGTATTGGTTTGTCCTCTTACCCAATAACAATACACAAAGAAAAAAAAATTGGATCAAAAAGGGGATAGAGGGAATTTGAAGTAGCCAGTAAGCAAAACAAGGAAGGTCAGTTATTGTGACTTAGATTAGTAGCAAAATTATATCCATTTTTTTTTAGTTCTGGTTTTGAAATAGTATTTTGTGATGGCTATGAGAACTTGGCCCTGGTGTTTTATTGTATTATAATAACGGAGAGACTGCTGTCAACAACAAGAAGCAGTTTCTAGACTACAGAAATTATACTAGTAAGGAAAAAAAGGGAAAGAAGGTACTATCATCTCACTTTTTCTAAGCAATATGCCTTGTGTTGCTTTAGCTCAGCGGCTTCATCTAAGCAAGGTAACAAACTGTTTCGGGGTACTTAGCTGTGGCACTACTTGAAGCACAAAGGATTCGCACTGACAACAGCAGAGGCAATAAATACAAATCAAACTAACAGATAATCAGCTGCAGTTCATATAACTATTATAACAAAAGTTTTGCAGTATTTTCATATTTAAAAAAATCTACAAAAACTTTGAGAAGTGGTGTTGGTCCAGCATTTTAAACAGTTGGTGGTCTAAAAGTTTGACTATCTTTGTGGCAGACAAAGGGAGGTGGTGTTTTTTTAAAGGAAGCTTTCCCACTCTAAATTCACCCAGATAGAGTCGAGGTAAAAAGAAGTAACTGAGGAGCAAATCTACAAAGACAGGAAAGGGAATATTCTTCACATATCTGACTGTGTATCATTGAGCAATGATAAATCTTATATTCAGGTCTAAAATCACAAGTTGATCACAAGCTTAGTCTCTCAAAAATGTGACATATTGGAAATATTGTCTCTAGCCCTGAATCTAAATAGACCCTTTTTTGTTGTGTTGTTATTTTCCCAAAAGAGAAAATCAAGGCTTTTGTAATAAGCTGTTTTTATTTTCCCTCTTCAGAAGAAAATGTACATCACAAGAAAAAAAAAAAATCATTTAGATTCCAAAAGGTGATTCTTGGTTTTGTTTGTAAGGTGATTTTTTTTTCCTGTGGAAATGGATTTAAATACAGTCCTGACCACACTTAGTGGGATTTGTTTCTTATTTGAGCAGTGCTGTACTAAATTACGTTTGGGTCTTGTAAACACAGGGTTAAGAGATGATAAAATCTTTCTGGACATGTGAATGCTGGCAAATCAAAGCTTTTCTCTTTCTGTTTAGGTCACCATCAACTTTAGGGAATATGAGGATAATGCAATCTGGATTAGAATTGCCTGGGGAACACCATATACAAAGCCCAACCAGTACAAAGCCTGTTATGCTGTGTACCACTCACAAACTCCCTATGTCTTCGTTTCTACCTCAACATTAAAGAGTAATTTGCCTCTGCTATGCCAGGTACAGACTAAAACTGTGTAGACCCTAATTTCATCCCAGTCATGTAGACCTAGAATTGTTTTAGCGTTTAAGAGGATGGGTAAAGATTTGACACTTAATGTGATCTACTAATTTACATAGGCATTTTTTTCATTTACCTCCTGATAAAAATGGGGAGAAAACCAATCTTTGTGACCTTTGGAATGGTGCTTTGTGAATAAATTCAGGTTACTGGGATTCTTGCTGACCTTGAATTGTTCTTAACCAAGTGTTAGGCAGTGTTCAGTTAAATTGTCTCACTGAAGTTGAAGAATATTACATCAGCACAGTTCAATTCAGTTTATGATCTCATCAGGGAATGCTATTAATTAGTTTTAAAAGATTTTCTGTCAACTTATGATTAGTGTTGGTAGTCTTTCATTTCTTATCTATTTAGCAGATTTCCACACCTAGTATTTTAACTAATTAATATGTTTGTTGAGTTTTTAAAATTATTTCAGCTGATAAGGCTATAGGGTTTATCTAGTTAATCATGTGAATGCTTTTAAATATTAACCGAAGCTTAATAACAATATGTTCAACATTTTTTTAGATGTGAGAATTCTGCTAGTTTAAGGGCAGTTGCTTACCTGAAACAAAATCACATTTAGAAGTACTATAGTTTTTCCAAATTATAGACATAGTGATGGTTACACTGATGTTAAAACAACTTCCATTTTTATTTAAAGGCCCTGGTTGTTGCTTCCAATTACCGTGACATCCGTAAAATGGAGCTTCGAGGCCATTCTTTAAAATCCCTTAAAGATATTGTGTTCAAGAGACATAGCCAGGTGAGCCACTTCACAAGTATATCCTAAGATAAGTCTTGCTCTTTGTTTCAGGCCTAGTTCTCACCCCCTAGCAGGAGGGAAAATTCACCTCTCCCAAGAGACCATCAATTTAAAATAACATTCTACTACTGGGGTGGACGGACTTTCATTAAGGTGACTTTACAATGGGGATGTAATTACTTTGTATCCCACCTAATCATTATTATTGCTATTTCTGATGGTTTAACTCAGTCAAAAACTTGCATGAACAATTCACTCCTAGGATTTTTAGCATAATTTCACTAGGCTTCCTAGACTAGTGAGTTGAAGGCTATTAGAACTTACTCTGCATGTCCATGTCAAACTTGTAAATAGGGGGATGTTCACAAATATAACAGGATGGACATTCTTTTCTCAAAATAAAGCTGGGCTTTCTGACTTCTAGTAGTTGTCAAAAACTGGAAGAACACTGACTTTCAGAATGAGAAGTAGAAAGAAATCTGGAAATTTTGATTGACCTACAGCCTCTAAAAGTGGAAGTGGACTAAACTATTTCTCCTTTTTTTTCTCCCCCTTCTGAAGAACTTCCAGACTTATTGTCCAAGGCCCCTACAAGAAAGGAATGTAGCACCAGAAGGTGGTATGTATATTTTAAATAAAAAGGCAGTTTGCATGTTATTGCAGCTGCCTTCTAAAATGAGATTCTTAATAGGAAATGTAATTGTTACGTTAACACTATATTATCCATCCCTGGTGGGGTGCTGTGATACTGGCTGTCACTAGGAGAGAGAAATATTTCTCCATGACTATCAGTGGAAACAGTTATGAAAATAAACCAGTCCCCAGTATCTCCTATTAGATTTTTTTTTCCCTCTTGGTAAGAATGGAATATATAAATGATGGAGACAAATATCTTTAGAAAAAAAAAGATTATTAATTCTTTAAAATTATTATTTCCAGATTTTCACTGCAGTCATCACCTGATCAGAAAAACTACTGTATCAGCTGACAAAGTTGTCTTTCTGTTTTTTCTTCTCTTCCTTTCTCTACTATTTTTCCCTGTGGCAGATGCAAGGATAATTCAAGAAGACAGAATTGAGAAAGAAAGAATAGAGAGAGTAAATTGGGAGATTTTTGGTGATGGTCCCCAACCAAAACTGGAATTTGCACAATATAAGGTAGTAAAAGCAACAGATTTCCTTTTCTAAATAATTTAAATGTGATGAAAAATCTAGTATTTCTTCAAGCTTTTGGGAGAACATCTTTTAAAATAAAATTAGTTAAATTTGTCTTGAAGAAATAGATTTACATTGAGATGTGGTCAGACTACTAGATCATGTTTTAGTCTTTCAGCCTGGTGAGCTAATAAGCATTTTAAATTGTTCTTGGTATAAGAGTAGACTTAGACCAGCAGTGGGGGAAGCATGAGAAAGAGTTATTTGAAGTAGATACAAAGCTTGTGCTACATATAACACCATAATTTAACTTGGATGATGCACAGATTTTATCTGATGATATTGGAAATTCTGAGAGATACTTTGTTTTACATTGTGACTGAACAAGCTGCTTCTTTCAGCAGAAAATTGTTTACCACATGGTGGCACCCTCTGATTTTATTCAAATATTCCTCCATGTGGTATCATGTTAATATCTGAAATAACGGACAAATAAGATACAGTCTTACTAAATTTTTAATATAATGTTTACATAGTAACATAAGTAAAACAGAGTAATTGCTTCTACTCCGTGGTTGTATCTTGTGTTAACAGCTTGAGACGATGTTTAAAAGTGATCCTAAACTGGATGTTTTGGATAAAAGAGAACCATTCAGATGCCTGGTCAAGTTTTCTAGTCCAGATCTTTTAGAATCACTGAAATCCTTGGCACCAGCAGGTAAGTGTTTCAACTCTGTAAAATGGAGGAAGAATCCACAGTTAAATATTGTCATCTTATATATCCTGCTTATATTTTGCGTAAGGGAGAACATTCACAGTTTGTTTAGAAATACATGGAAACTTAGTAGAATAAGAATATTACCACTACAAAAACTTATGTCTAAATACATAGCAGTTTGCTCTTAGATACTCAAGCTGTATTTTTAGTTTTAGAACAGTTTTGAAAGGTAAATATTGGTTGAATTAAGCTATAATTATCTCTCTCTCTCTCTCTCTAGGTATGGCTGATGCACCACTTTCACCACTACTTACATGTATACCACACAAAGCCAGAAATTATTTCAAAATTAGAGAGAAGAAAGAATTATTTCCAGAAGGCTTTGTAAGCCCTTAATTTGAAACAGATTCATAGAGAAGTATCAAATATTTTATAACTGGTATTAATATAAACCATAATAGCTTAAAAAAAAATACTCTTAAAATATAACTTATTCTTCAATAACCTCAGAAAGTTTTTTTCCAAATGGTGCCTTATTTAAGTTATTTTTTCCACATTTGTCTTTAACAGAAGAGTTAGCCCTTCTCATAAATTATTGCATTATTTGCAAAGATTAAATGGAAATCACAGTTATTTTTAAATTTAAAATATAAAACCTGCCTTTAACTGTATTTTCAGTAATATTTGTGATGTTCAGGCTTAAAGCTACGTTAATACGGCTGCAGCTATTCAGTTTGCTGTCATAACTGGAGATGGTGAAGATATTCTAGGTGGCCTTCTGATTGTGGCTCCAGTTCAGCAGTGAAACAAGATACGTGCCCATTTTGAATGTATGAATAGTCCCATTCTAATAACTGGAGTTACCTGTCTGCAGGTCAGGCATGTTTGTCTTAGACTATTGCATGCCATGGGGAAGAAGAGACTCTTGGGATGTATATGTCAGAGTTTTCCATCCAGCTTTAGTGGGTTTTAATTCAGATAAGAATTTTTGCTGAAAAGTGTTTATTTCCTAAAGTCTTAGGAAACTTAATCTTAGAGGAATAAAAAGAAACAGGCAGTAATTTTCTTCTGAGGAAGCCCATGTTTTAGAATATGTCATTTAGGATTTGACCCTTCTGCAATCAATGTTATCACTTTTTTGTACCTGGGGACTCTTGTGCAGAATCAAAATAGAAACATTTACTAGTACAAACCACAGCTTTGCACTGGAGTTCTTTAGAGCTGGTAATTGTAACTATATAGATATTTTTATGTAACTTCCTGCTTAATTTTTTTTGAGATGGATTTGATCTGAAGATTCACTTAGTGTACAAGTGTTTATTTTTTAATTGTTACCTGGAAACTTTATGTATTTGTGTACATGGCATTTCTGATTCACTTGAGATATGTCAATGTGCAGAGAGTCTTCATAACTTCATGGCATAATGTAAATATCTTGTGAAGTTGTATGGGAATGTTTGTTTTCAAACTTAAGTAAATGTGTAAATTGTCTTCTCATAGAAGTTTGTTTCACCTAACTTAGACATAGCATATAATGATTTTTGGTTTGTTTTGTTTTCAGCATCTCAGTGTAACTTGCACAGAAGAAGTTAGTTTAGGATTATCTGCTAGTGATAGATTTTTAGGACTTCTGCCTCCATGATTTAAATATTAGTTTGCTTAAATATTCAACATGTTAGGAGTCTGAAACAATTCCAGGTTTTTAGTGATAGACAAACTGTATGATGGACATTAAGAGTTGGCTCTAACGCCTCTCCCTCAAACCCTCACAGACCCTTCCAGAAATCAGACCCATTACCATTCCACTATCCATTTCACTCTGTGCAACATTTTCTTCCTAATGCTCTCTCCCAAATAACTTAAATGCCTGAGATTATAATGATTTACCATAAGGGTAACGTTTCAAAATACTCTAAAACACTGAGTACCTGGCCTACTGCCTGTTTCTGCCTCTTGCTTCTGGGAAAGGCAGCCTCCATTCCCGTTTTAACTATGGAAAAGTTGGTCTCTCTGATGGTCAGATACATGTTTCATCTTTAACTTCCAGTACCCAAGGCTATTACAGGAACTACACAGCAGTTCTGGGCCAGCAGGCAGGTATTTATTGCCCACAAGCAGCAGCAGGTGTGCAGGCAAGGACATGGGCTGTGTGATCAGCACCAGGCCCTGGCACACCTGGCACCTACACCCAGCACCCAACTCTTCCCCGGTTCAGGGGCGGCTCAGATCCCTGATGTACTTTTTTTTTTTTTTTCCTCTAAGTGGCCAAGCAACAGCGGGAAAACTCCTGTGTTTTTTGTTTTTGAAAGGGTGAGCCAACATCAGTAAGTAAATGCAAAGTATCCCATTGGAGACAGGGCCTGTCCACCCCGGGGCAGGCAGCGGGGCGAACGCCGGCCCAAGCCCCTTCTTGCACGTTTGTGCAGCTCCTTCTACTCGAGATTTCACACCGTTATTCTGTTTCCTCGCCCTAAAAACCCTCACCGCCCCCTCCCCGGTAGCTAAGGAAGCGGAGGGGCGGGCCCGCGCTCCCGGCCCGCCCCGAGCAGGACGTGAGGTACAGGCCGGGCGGGCCGCGGCTCATTTACATGCACCCTGGGCGCTGCCCCTTGGCT